GGGGGGGTAATTTTCCAAATACCCCCATAGGTTGAGATATATGTCAAAATGTCCCCGAAAGATATGGACACAGTGGAATGGCCTTTTGGACTGACATGTTTGTGTTATCCCCCTGTCAGGTGGGAGTGCAAACTCTCTTGGCCTTTTGCAATTGCACCTACGAAAAGTTGGCAACTGCCGGCGCGTTTTGCAAAGTTCGCCAGCGTCCGGTAGGGGTACATTGCAATGATGGGCTCCAACTGATGGCTGGGGTGTGTCGCAAAATGTTTTTGTCATCGTCCTTCGCCGCGTAGCTGCGGCGGGTCCACTCGTTTCTTTAAAGAACAGGCAAGCCTGCTTACAGAAGGATGATGACATTCAGAGGTGCAGAGGTTAAGAAATACGATTGGCATCCCCGAGATGCAAAGCAGCCAAAGTTTGGAAAAAACACATCCACGTGGACCCACGTGATTTTTTATTTGTCTATTTTTTGGTCACGAGATTCAAAACAAACAAACAAAACAAAACAAAGTGAAACTTCAAACAGGGGCAGCAGAGTGAAAACAAAAGCTTAGCATGGACCCCTTTGTTTGCAAGGATGAAAGAAAAAGGAGAAACAAGAGTCACAGTCCTCGCAAGACTTTATGAGCAGGAAGAGATGTCTCGTTCTTTTGTTTTCTTTTTTTTTCTTTCAAATGGGGGCTAAGCTGAACTTTGAAATTTGAAATTTGAACTTTGAAATTTGAACTTTGAAATTTGTAACTTTGAAATTTGAGATTCGAATTCCAGTTTTTAAATAATGATGCTCTGTTTATCCACAGCCACACAGATGTGCGTGCGTACCACTCGAGCACGAAGTCGGAAGAGACGTCACGGTTGGGGGACTTACTTCGAAATCGAGTTTAGAGTACGCGACTCGTGGCGCATGCTGACGCTTTGGCCTCAGGGTGCCTGCCCTTCGTACATTCTCACGCCGGTTATCCCTCCGCATAACATCGTCATCGTCTCTTTCTCTGAATGCTTCTTCCTCTTCTGATGACAAAAAAGACTCCGTTTCCCGATCACTGGCATCCAGTTCATGTTCCTTCCTACCTCGCTTCGTGTTCATCCTGTCGACCCTTGCACTCTCTTGATCGCGGCGTTCCGGCCCGTCACAACCACCTCCACCATGCTTCTGACCCATGTCCTGTAGCAAACCTGAAACTTGAGGAAAGCTTCTCTCCTCCCATTTTGCCTTACCCCGGAAGAGTTCATTCCCAAGCTCAGCTACGGAGTTGCTACATGAAGGGCTGTACGGTTCTGGGTGGGCGGAACTCCAATCGTCTGACACAGCTCTCTTCTCTCCCGAAATAGACGCACAAGCAGCTGGAATGGAAAACTGGTCAGCGCTAGGGATTGATCGCACCATATCCTCTTTATCCTCCTCTTTATCCTCCTCTTTATCCTCCTCTTTAGATCGCACCATATCCTCTTTATCCTCCTCTTTATCCTCCTCTTTCTCCTCCTCTTTCTCCTCCTCTTTATCCTCCTCTGTAGCTTCCTCTCTATCTCCCTCTTTCTCCTCCTCTTTCTTCTCCTCTTTCTCCTCCTCTTTCTCCTTCTCTTTCTCCTCCTCTTTCTCCTCCTCTTTCTCCTCCGCTTTCTCCTCCTCTTTCTCCTCCTCTTTCACCTCTTTATCGTCCTCCTCCCCATGCCTTACGCCTTGGGGATCTTCGTCCCATGCTCTTTCCTCATGCCGAGCCGCAACTTGCTGCTGTGCAAAGTTGTTTGATTCGCCTGGCAAGACTTCGAGAACCTCGGGAGTCGCTACTGTTTCATACCCTCCGGCCTCGTCGGTGGTATCAGCTGACGCGTGGTCACGCAGATGCTCTTGCGCCTCATTCCTCTTCAGGTCTTCTGGTGTTCCATTTGTCCCACCTTGAGATACCTTCTCCCACGCTCCGGTGACCGATGTCAACCCTTTCGCCGACGTACATGGCTTCATAGCTTCTGCTACCTGGCCGCCATAAATCCGCAACCCTTCCCCTATCTCTGGCGACTTACCTTGCTCCTGTACCCCCACTGTCTTCTCCGATGCACCTTTATCGACCTCGACACCTGCCGGCCGCATCCCGCTTTCACCGCCGTATGTACCCACCATCTGATCGGGTGGGTGCTCTTTCCCTTTGAAACTTTCCGCATCCGCTTCCCTCGGAGAACTGAGGCATCCCTGCTTCTCCGAGTCCTCATGCGCCATCGCTTTCTCAAGGGTTGCCAGCTTGGCCTTCAAGGCAGCCACCTGCTCAAAGAGTAGCATATGAGCGAAAAGGAAAAGCAGAAATTTCAGTAATAATGTTGACGCTGGATGATTTTCTCGCTTTCACTACCGCAACAAAAACGGGGCTGGAAACGACTGATAGACACCGGTCCTCCAGAGCCAGCAAATAGCTTTGCAGCATTTGCGCCTGCAGTTTTTGGTTAAAAAGTTAACCATTCGTAGTAGTAATTTCGTACACACATGAAATTCAACAGCAGCTCAAACAGCCTGGTTTCAGCACATTCCTGCGGTCCGACGCTGCACAGGATCGAAACAGCGATCTCCGGCTTAACAGCCTGGTGTCTTAAGGGCCTTAACCGCTGCAATCATGACACGGTGTTCAAAAGTGGAACCAAGCCGGTCCCACCCCTGCATGGTTGCAGTGTGATCGTTCACTCTCAAGAACATCACCCACCCTATGACACCTCTCAAGACCATGAACCCTCAAAGCAGTGCCAAAGAGATGACGTCTTTCCATGTTGACCTGTGCCTTCTTTCTCTTTGTTCTTTTTTTTTCATTTTGCTTCCCCTTGCCACTTTTGAACACCGTGTCATGGTTGCAGCGGTTAAGGCCCTTAAGACACCAGGCGGTTAAGGCCCTTGGATAAATGCCCTTGTGACCCCCTGAAGGCGTCTCCACGAGGCATCGTGGTATGCCCTTGTGACCCCCTGAAGGCATCTCCGGGAGGCATCGTGGTATTCCCTTGTGACCCCCTGAAGGCATCTCCGGGAGGCATCGTGCTATTCCATACATCCTGGGCGACACACGTGCTACAATGGCCGGGACAAAGAGTTGCAACCCTGCGAAGGCGAGCTAACCTCAAAAACCCGGTCTCAGTTCGGATTGCAGGCTGCAACTCGCCTGCATCAAGGCGGAATCGCTAGTAATCGCCGGTCAGCCATACGGCGGTGAATCCGTTCCCGGGCCTTGTACACACCGCCCGTCACACTATGGGAGCTGACCATGACCTTCTAAGCCTTCCACCTAAGCTGYGCAGGAAAAGCCCAAACCCAATCCCAGGGAACAGTAAAGCTTCATAGGGTCTTTCTGTCCAGGTGCAGGTAGTCCGCATCTTCACAGATGTCTATTTCACCGAGTCTCTCTCCGAGACAGCGCCCAGATCGTTCCGCCTTTCGTGCGGGTCGGAACTTACCCGACAAGGAATTTCGCTACCTTAGGACCGTTATA